ATATCATCTGATTTCACTCATACATGAAATTTAAGAAACAAAAGAGATGAACATAGGGGAAGGGAAGGAAAGATAAGATAAAAACAGAGAGGAAGGCAAATCGTAAGAGACTCTTAAATATAGAGAACGGCAAACCCTATCAAAATAACACCAGCATTCTTCAGAGAGCTAGAACAAACAATCCTAAAATTTGTATGGAACCAGAAAAGACCCCACATAGCCAAAGAAATCCTGAAAAAGAAAACCAAAGCTGGAAGCATCACAATTCCAGACTTCAAGCTGTGATCATCAAGACAGTATGGTACTGACACAACAACAGACACATAGATCAATGGAACAGAATAGAGAACCCAGAAATGGACCCAGAAACATATGGCCAACTAATCTTTGACAAAGCAGGAAAGAATATCCAAGGAAAAAAGACAGTCTCTTCAGTAAATGGTGTTGGGAAAACTGGACAGCAACATGCAGAAGAATGAACCTGGACCACTTTCTTACACTATACACAAAAATAAACTCAAAATGGATGAAAGACCTAAATGTACACAGGAAACCATCAAAATCATAGAGGAGAAAACAGGCAAAAACCTCTTTGACTTTGGCCACAGCAACTTCTTACTCAACATGTCTCTGGAGGCAAGGCCAAAATGAACTATTGGGACCTCATTAAGATAAAAATCTTCTTGCAGAACAAGTTACTTGCAATCCAAGGTTTACTGTATATATACTTTTTCTTTTATTCCTTCACTGTATCCTTTGCTGGAATAAATCTTAAGCCATGACAGTAAAAAAAAAAAAAAAAAAAAAAAAAAAAAAAAAAAAAAGATAAAAATCTTTTTGAAGGAAGTGAAAGAAACAGTGAAGGAAACAATCAGCAAAATTAAAAGGCAAGTGATGGAATGAGAGAAGATATTTGCAAATGACATATCAGATAAAGGATTAGTATCCAAAATCTATAAAGAGCTTATCAAAATCAACACCCCAAAAACAAATAATCCAGTGAAGAAATGGGCAAAAGGCATGAATAGACACTTTTCCAAAGAAGATGTACAGATGGCTAACAGACACATGAAAAGATGTTCAATATCACTCATCATCAGGGAGCTACAATCAAAACCACAGTGAGATTCCACCTCACACCTGTCAGAATGGCTAACCTTAACAACTCAGGCAAGAACAGATGTTGGCAAGGATGAGGAGAAAGAGGAGCCCTTTTGCCCTACTGGTGGGAATGCAAACTGTTGCAGCCATTCTGGAAAACATATGGAGGTACCTCAAAAAATGAAAAATAGAACTACCCTATGACCCAGCAGTTGCCCTACTAGGTATTTATCCAAATGATACAAAAATGCTGATTCAAAGGGGCACATGCACCCCAATGTTTATAGCAACACTATCAACAATAGTCAACGTATGGAAAGTGTCCAAATGTCATTGACTGATGAATAGATAGTGAGGATGTGGTATATATATTCAATGGAATATTACTTGCTAATCAAGAAGGATGAAATCTTGCCATTTGCAATAACATGGATGGAATTAGAATGTATTATGCTAAGTGAAATAAGTCAGAGAGAGACAAATATCATGATTTCACTCATGTGGAATTTGAGATACAGAACAGATGAACATAGGAGAAGGAAAGCAAAAATAATATAAAAACAGAGAGGCAGACAAACCATAAGAGATTTTAAATATGAAGACAAACTGAGGGTTGCTGGAGGGGTGTTGAGTGTGGGGGAAGGGCTAAAGGGCTGAGGGGCATTAAGGATGACACTGGTTGGGATGAGCACTGGGTGTTATATGTAAGTGATGAATCACTAAATTCTACTCTTGAAAAAAAAAAAGAAAGAACAAACTGAGTATTGCTAGGGTGTTGGGTGGGGTACTTTTAAAAAGTAAATAAAGCTACTAAAATGTGAAAAAAAATAGGTTTGAAAATCCCCACTCCACTCTAGTTCAGTGAAGCTTTTGCTGAGATTTTTTAGATAGGGAAGGGAATAATCAATCACTAACAGAACTTTTGTAAAACATACCTGTAGAAGTAAAAGTCAAGATGGGCTAAATTTATTCTGACCATTGATGTAGCAACATAAACAGCCCTTAAATTGTTCATTTTTCCAGTAGAAAATTCCCTTCCTGGAGCCCTCAGTATTGAATTAGACCCAAGCTAATTCAAACCCAAGTTTATTTGGAAAGTAAAAGCACAAAATAACTCTTGTCCTTCTATAGATCTTCAGTGAACAAGAAAAGAGTATGTGTTTGAAGAAAATTTCTGTCTATCTAAGACTCAAAATAAGGAGTGGTATTTTTTGCTGACTTGGTTATTGAAGAACTCTTTTAATGAAATTCAGCTTTGTTTTATAAATAATGCAGTGCTTCCTTGTGATTAGGTGAACCTAATCGGATACCCAGTGAGAGAGGATATTGCCAGCAAACCCTTACTATTAGGAATAAACAATATTGCACATTTTTCAAGTGGAGGGCTATGAGTGGTACTAGATTAAGTAAACCACTGTAGATGCTAGAAATCCCTTTCCTCGTTGGATCAGGACTCTTTGTTAACACCGAGCATCTTCCCTGGCTTGATTCATGGTTGGCAGGGATTTGTGGTTGGCCATGGATCCCTGTCCTAAGCCTCATGGTTCTGCAGTTGCAGAGAGGTTCTCGGGGCACAGGACATAAAAAGGCCTTTTCCCTCATAGTGCTTATATCTGTTTCTTATATCTGTTTTTTATTTCCTTCTCACTGATTATTTTTGTTTTTGAGTTTGGTGTGGATTTATATTGTTTCTGATTTCAAAAAAAAAAGGGAGAGAGAGAGAGAAAGAGAAACATTTTTGTACTCAGTGAAATTGAAAGTGCATGACTATTTAAGTGACAGTGGATCATGAGGGAACATAAAATTTGAGAAGGTAGGCTGAGAGCCAGTGCCGAGGGCAGTTGCTTGACCGTGCAGATGCGTGCAGCAGGAGATGGGTGAGCCCATGGTGGAAGATCTTATTGAATTTAGACTGTCCTTTCCCATAGGTAGTGGTTTCACCTCACGTATTTGTTTCAAGGGCTCCCAAGCCTAAAGAATCAAGGAAAAGATCAAGGTTTAAGAAGACAGATGTCCCCGGAAAGCTTTCTGTTACAGCTGGTCAGCAGGGAAATGAGAACTGCTCTCACTGCGTTCATTGGACATCCCTTAAATCTTTGGGAAGTCAGAGAGCTTTGCTCAACATCTTCACCTGCACAAAAAAAAAAATTAAAAAATAAAAAATCTTTAGAAGAATTTGAGTGCTGGCAGTGATATCCTCTCTGTAACCACTTCCAAAATCATTCTTAGACATAAGCTTCTCAGGAGACTTTTGTGGGTATGTAATGAATGAACAGGTACAAGAGCATTCTGTCTCTCATCATAGCTCTGATGTCCCATAGTGGCATCTCAGAGAAAGAGAGCCAAGGACTTGCTGTCCCTCAGGCCAAGGACTTGCCATACTTCAGGATTGTGAAGCTTGGGGTTGTGGGGCTACCACCAGGGACCTCAGGTTGTCTTTGCCTGAGTAAAGGTGACCAGAGATAAGCAAACAATAGTGCCATGTGCTGGCCCAGCATGTTTTCTTTTCCCCAACTTCCTCTCATAATATCTCTCTCTCCAACAATCTCTGCAGCCATTGAGAGTAATTAGGGCTTTCCAGCTTTGGGAGGGCATAACATGTCTGTGAAGAGTCCTTGACAGTCTTGAGGAGCATTACCTGTAATGTCTTCCTGAAAATACTAGTTCTTAGAGATGTTCATCGTGTTCATCGCTGCTCTAAAAGGGAGTAGGGAAGGATTGCATGGTCAAATAAACCTAGGAAACTTTGGGTTAAGCAAAGGTTTAAAAAGACAAACCATGAGACTTGTCTTGTCAGCCTTTTAAATAGGACCCCCTTCTGCTCCCAAATATAATTGATCTTAGAAGGTGTGGAACAGAGTGGGAGAGGCCAAGCATGTCATTTGATTGTCAAGAGACTTGACAAGTACACATCCTATTTTTATTTGGGCCTTATCTTAGCTTTCCTACATTAACAGGCAGCTTCACAGGCTTATTCTGAGTACTCTGGGTGACAGAGATGGAGTGAACCTCTTAGTCTGCTAAATATTCTGCTCTAAGTATAGCAGAAACAACTAAACTATGTAGCTGTGTGGATTTACCTTCTTTATGGTTTTGAGTTATGGAAGTAAATTGATTCCCTTCCCTCCTTAATCAGCATAAATTTGACTTACTGATGTATCCCCAGTCCTCCTTTACATTTGCTTTTGAACATTGGGAATGCCATTTTCACTTCCTTGTGCATTACTTAATTTTTTTGAAAGTGTTTGTCAGGATTTTCATTCTGAGAACTCTCTTAGGCCAGTTGGCACCCAAATTATAATAGGAGGAGAGAAAGGGGGTAAAATGGAAAAAGAGAGCCAAGATGAAAAGCCATTTCGGGAGTAAAGTTTATTTTTACGGGAAAATCGTGTGTATTATCCTTTCCCAATAATGGCAGTCTGACTCATCTTCCAATCCAAATATGTTCATGAAGATGCCCTCATCCAAAGAACCCCCATCGTCTTATGTACATAGTGGGCATTATATGGGCAGCTGGTCAGCAGTCCTACCAGCCCAGAAACTCAGAAGTGGTGAGGCAATAGGGGTTTTCTGTCAAAGCAAATTGAAAGTAATTGTAGGATCCAAAGGACTAAAATTTGGTTAAACCTGATAGATTTGTATACTGTTTATTTTTGCACCATTTGGGGGTTATTTACATATACTGCTGTCAAATATGTACTTCTCAGCCACATTTATATGCCTGCAGCTGCATACATAATTAAAATTTCACGTGGACAACCCATTAAAATAAAGGAAGAATTCAGTGTTTTGTTTGGGTTGTGACATTCCTAGGGTGGAGGAGGAAGGAAAACAAGTAAATTGTTGTGCCTACCTGAGGAGTTTTTGAACAATCCTGGCTTAATATCTCTAATTTTCAGGTTGTATCCTCGCCACGCCAGTGCCCTGAACAACCTCGGAACGCTGACAAGAGACACAGCAGAGGCAAAGATCTACTATCAGAGGGCTCTCCAGCTAAATCCACAGCACAACCGAGCTCTTTTCAATCTTGGGAATCTCCTCAAGTAAGTACAAGGTGGACCTTCGATTAGGTGCGCTTGTCATTTTAGGCACCCCTTTCTTTCTCAACACTCATTTGGTCGTGCTTCAGTCCTCTTCTTAGAGTAGGATAATAAACGTTTCCAAGCTTTGAGAAGAGGTCATATTCGTCTAAATTAACTCTATCCCTTATCAGTCAAAAAGAGTATTTCCCTAGAGTGTCTCTCTGGACATGTTAGTTCTGAGATATGTTCACAGATTGTCTGTGGAGGGGTAGGAATAGGGAAGGGCTCCTTGGTCAGGTAAACTTAGGAAATGCCAAGTTAGACAAGGATGACTCCCCTCTTGCAAGAACCTTTAATATCCTAAATGCCCCGTGAATCTTGAAGAAGGCAGTATGGAATACGACATTTCCCAATTTTTTTTTGGAAAGGTGTTTCCCAGGTATTCCATGAGTATACCTTGTAAAAGTACTTATCCACGAAGAGCAATCTGCTCTAAAACTGTAGGCAAATGACAGAACCACAGCTTGTGTTCAGTGTGTACTAGCAGTAAAAAAACAAAGTAAGGTCTGCCTGGACTTAGTGATGGTAAGTCTTACTCTTAGGAAGACCTGCCGGGTATAGTCACCAGTCACCGGGTACTGTCACTGCCCAGTAAAAGGTTGATTAGTGTCACTGAAGACTGAAGCACACAGGGATACTTTTGCATCTTGTCTTTTTATTAATACAGAGTCTTGGTATGTTGGTGATGGTACATCAGAAGCGGAAATAGGATGAAAATGTTTGGAATGAGATTGTAGTGATGCTCGTTAAGATGCTGACAGTCCACACACTTACTGAATGGTTTCCACGTCTCTAAATTTCTAGAGTGCTCATCTGGTACTTTTAAAGCGAATGGTTTGCTTTGTTCTTTTGGCCTCTCCCTAACAGGATTGTCTTTTTTTTTTTTTTTTTTTTTTTTTTTTTTTTAATGTTTATTTGTTTATTTTTGAGAGAGAGGGATGGAGAAGGAGAGAGAAAATCCCAAGCAGGCTCCACACTGTCAGCTCAGAGCCAGATGTGGGGCTCAAACTCAGGAATTGTGAGACCATGACCTGAGCTGAAACCAAGAGTAACTGACTGAGCCACCCAGGTGCTCCAGCAGGATTGTCCTCTAATTATCTCAGTAACTCAGTGTGATGCAGCTTCTCCACCTTCTTGTTTACTCCTTTAATTTTACATATATAGATAGATAATAGTCCTTTCTCCTAATGTGTGTGTTAATGTGTGTTTTTATCTAATCTTGTTTGGACAGAAGCATTGGGTGGATTAATCACAGAACATTCTAATATGGTATGATGTGATAGGTACCATCCTGAATCTGAAGGGTTTTTTTTGTTTGTTTGCTTTTTAAGTTTATTTATTTATTTTGAGAGAGAGAGAGAGATAGTGAGAGGGGGAGGGAGAGAGAGAATCCCAAGCAGGCTCTGTACTGTCATCACAGAGCTGGATGTGGGGCTCGAACTCACAAACCATGAGATCAGGACCTAAGCTGGAATCAAGAGCCAGATGCTTAATCAACTGAGCCACCCAGGCACCCCCTGAGTCTGAAGTTTTATGTTTAGAAATGGCTTTATCCATTTACAGGAACACAAAATCAAGGAAGACTATACAAAAATAAGTAAATGTGAGGAAAATACACTTAAAATGAAAGAAATAAAACTATAAGTCAGCAAAAAACAAATAAATGTAATTTTTGAATCAGATAATTTATTGTTACAACTTGATACAAATTGAGATTGATGAAAAACAACTATGAATGAAATGGTACACACTGTGACAGAAAAACCATTTTATTACCAGTTAACTCCCATTAAAAATAATAACAAATCAAGAGATGTGGGGAAAATGAGTTCTCTGTTATTGCAGATAACTAGTTGCAGGTCAATAGAGTGCTTTTGTATTACTCTGCTATTTTTATGAGCTCTTATTTCTCTATGTGACGCTCTATGGACTCATTTTTTTTAAAGTCATTGTTGGGTCTGTTTATGTCCTAACTTCGAGCCCAAGTAACTTAATGGCTGGATAAAGTCCTATCAGTGTCTTTTGGGGTAACTGGATTACATAGTATTGATTTTAAAGACCATATGAGTATTTGTTCCCCCAAAGAGCCAGCTTTAATGACAGTTCTTGTTAGGAATGATGTCCTGCAGTTATGGTTACAATATTGTGCTGAATGGGCCTCTACTTGAAAATAATGGTTAGATGGTCCTTAAATTTCATCTTGCCAAGACCTGAACAAGAGATGCACACTCTAACCTTCCTTTTTCAATTCACATATTATTCCACTATTAGCTTGAATGAGTATCTGTGAGTTAAAAGGATAAGGGATTATTTTTTGGAGCATGGCAATGGCTACTCTTCACAGTAGGAGGGATTCCTGGATACTGAGCATCGGACTTTTTCTCTCTTTGTCAGAGATTTTGTCAAAATCAACTTTTGATGATTATCCAAACCAAAGACAATGCTTTACATTTGTGTAAGACTGTACTTTTCTGAGTGCATGTTTTTTTGAGGAAGCTCTCCTCGTGACTCCTTAAAGTAGACAGGGAAGAAGAGGAAACCAGGGTCCTGCGAAGTTGAGTGCTTTGTACAAAGTCACCATTGTTTGCCTTTTGTTCTTTTCATTTACACCAGAAAGCAGAGTGGCTGTATCTATGTAGATTCCTTTTACAATTCAGTAGAATAAATCATGCTAATAGCTAACATTTATATAATACTGTCCAGTTTACAGATAAGTGTTTTCATATGCATTATTTAATCTTTAATCTATTGTGAGAGGTATTATCATCTGCATCCCCGTTTTACACATGGAGAAACCAAGGCTCAGAGATCTCATGTGACATTGGCCTAGGCCTTGTCAGACCTAGGACTGAATGCCTGCCCTTGGATTCCTATTCTATTCACTTACCTTGACCCATGCTGCCCAAATACCTCTCCAATCCAAGAATTACTTCATATTCAGCTATTTGACAGCATGTGATTGCCTTCTGGGAGAAAGACCCATCATGGTTTTTTTTGGGTGGGTGGGGTGGGGGGGATAGTGACATTTGTTTACATTATATCCCTCAGTAGCAGAGAGAGGTAACTCAGAAAATAGAGCTAATCCACATTTAGTTAACTCTGAGTTTCATTTCTACTTAACCTTAATATATGTCTGCTACTAGCAGTGGGTCAAAGACAAAAATAAATAAATAAATAAGAATATTTTAAATTTTGTTTGATTTGATCCATTTTGCTATTTAAGATTTTTGCCCTATCTGTTTCTCATCAGGCAGCTAATTTTTTAAATTGTGCCCTTTTTTGTAATCTAGAACTTAATTCTCATTCTGAGAACCCAAGCACCTATTTAGGCACAAGTGTTAGATTTGCTCATCGCTGAGAGCAGGGCACTGTCATCGTTCCTATTTTATAAATGAAGAGACTAAGGCTTGGAGAAGTAATGTGCCAAGGTCCCTTAGCGAAGTAACAGAAGGCATGGGAATTGAACCTAGAGCTGTCTGACCACACTCGACTGCCTCCTTGTGGCTTGCCTCAAAACTGGGATACAGCCTAGAGCCACATCGCCCAATGGAAATGTAATGAGAGCCAGAATCTGTGACTTAAAATTTTCAAGCAGCCATATTTCAGAACATAAAAAGGTGGAATTATTATAATAATGCATTCTATTTAACCCTGTATATCCAAAATATTGTCATTTTAGTGTGTAATTCGTATTAAAAATTAATTTTAAAATTGAACACGTAAAAATATTACTGAGCTAGTGTGTATTTCTTTACAATTAATCTTTGAAACCCAGTGTATGTTTCTTACTTTCAGACTAGTCATATTTCAAGTGTTCAGTAACCACGTGTGGTTAGTGGCTGCTGTATTGCACAGCATAGACCTTTATTAATGACTTTGACTTTGAGAGAAATTAAGTCTTTGTCCAGGCCAGAAGCTCTAAATAAAATGTGATTCTGTCAGACCATCCCAGAAATCGTGTGGCACTGAGGACAAACGTCACTTGAATTCTTGGAATTATATGACATATAGCTTTAGACCTGTTCATAGCAATAGATTTCAATGAATGCTATCCAAATATATTTGGCCTCTTTCATGACCATTTCACTGGACTTTGAAGCTAATCTATTATGATTCTGTGCAGCATATGTACAGTGTGACAGATTGATAAGGAGCAGCTATCCATGCCAGCATTCTTAATTTATATTAATTATTGTTGGCTTTGCTTGAAGCCTAAAACATAAAAGAAAATAGGCAAGATTAGCATAAACTTTTCATGGTTGAAAAGAGCAGAAGTCCCTGATGGCTCAAGAGAATATAATCGGATACTTACATTCAGGGCGTAGGAAAATATTTTTGTGACTGCTTGGGGAAAATAGCTGCTAGTGTTTGTTACTGAAACAGAATATGAAAAGACCCTCTTAAAGAATTATATAGCATACCTCCCTCATTGCCAGAACTACCTTCTATTCACATGAGAGGATTTGGGTGTTAATGGGTATTATAATAAATATTATAATCCCAATTTAGAAGAAAGTGAAATGGGATATCCAATAATTGAACTATATATAAGTTGAATTTGGGAAAAAATACGTTTGATTTTCTTTAGTCTGGTCCTTTAGAAAATTAAATTCTGAAGAATAAAAGGACATGGAAAGAAGGGTGACCATTATCTTTGAATAAATTTAAATGTTTGGGATAAATTTCTTTATAGCTTTGATACTAGCTACACCACCTTTTATTTTATAAAAAGGAATTGATACATTCAAGATGGTAGTTCTCTTCTCTCCTTTTCAACTGAAGCCTCTGGGAATTCAAAATGCCAGCCCATTGGATAAAGAAAAGCTTTTGGAGTTCCTTTCCACTACATTAGGATGTCAGCTTTGGGTGGGCAAGTTCTGCACCCTTTCCTTCTAGTGAAATCTCACTCCTTGCCCCCACCGCCATGGTGATCTGTTAGTATTCATGGTACTTCCAACCTT